TAGGTACATCCCACAAAGCACAACACAAATAAATACCGATGCCACTCCATTCGTGAATGGATGTAGTGGGCCTGTGCCACGGGTGCAGACATGTGATAGCTCAGCCTGCAGAAATTTTGTACCATACAGAACAGGATCACACGTTCGAGTATAAAAAATGATTTAGAAAATTACCATTCATTCAATCTCTTCGGGTCTCGACGCCATTCCATGTCTGGCTGGTTTGGCACAACTTCCACGACATCCCCAGCGTCGGGCTCGAGCATGTACGGTCCAACAACCATCAACCCTTGATATTCCTCTTCTTCTAACTCTTCGAAGACATAGACACCCTCTGAAGAAGTTGTACCAATGTTCTCGTCGGAATAATCCGATGAAACTTCACTGATTTCACTGCCGCTGTAGTCAGAGTATGCTGTGATCGCGTTCTGGAATTGACGTCACACATCCAGGTTCCAGATTTTCGCGGGAAAATATAACTTTCGGAAAATCTAAAGAAAGAAATTTTGGGGAATTATTTTCAGATTTCCTTTTTTACTCATATTAGAGAGATGGTTTGCGAGCTAATTCTCCCCTTTTAAAAGATTTAAGTTGTTACTTCACATATGCCCTTTAAGATCGCGGTGTATCATTGGCTATTTGGCTGTGTATATTTTAACCGGAAGTCTTCGGACAGTTTCGCCATGTTTCACTATTATTTTGTTTCATTATTTCGCCTTGTTATTTTCTTTATTCAGTTCAGGACTGAGATATATCTACCTTAGGAGTTGCTTTGATAAATTAATTGTAAAAAAATAAAGTATCTGTTATATGGTTCTAGTTCACGTATATAAAAAAAAAATGTAAATTTAAAACAAAGAGCAATGAACCCCATTAAATCCAACGAAAATACAGAAAGACAAACCTACGTAGTACCTAAGTAAACCACCACAAAACCAAGGCCATGTACTCTGATACAAAATAAAATAAAAGAAAATATCCTAGTAAAAATAAAGTATCCAAATTCATAAAATACAAAATAAAAAGGGGCCTTGGAAAATTTGAAAACTGAGGGTTTTTGAACGTAATCCTTATGATTTTGACTTCTCTGATGTCTCCGATGCCTTATTCTACCGTCTCAGAATGCGATAAGATATGATGCAAATAATCACAAAAAGCAAACAGATGAAACTGAACATAAAATGAGTCTCTCTCTTTGTTTATCATTTCAAACATCTCGTGTCTAAGCGGTTCTTCAGACATTGCTTGTCCTACGCATTTCCACCTGCTCAGTGACATCAGCAAATAGATGGTATTTAAAGGAACAGCGTATTTTCCCCTTGCGTAAGATTATATACCCTTTTAACTTCTATATATATATATATATATATATATATACATATATATATATATATATATATATATAGTATATATATATATATATATATATATATATATATATCAATAGTGTTATAATTCACATTGTAATTTGCGCAGTCTCACCCTCATCGGCTATGGCCAAGGTGATACAGAAGGATGTCTCAGCAGTAGTCATATTTGTAGTTTTTACTGCCTATTTCTGTGTGATGCAGCTAGCTTAGCCGTATTCTCTAGGCAAAAATAAAGATCTAAAACGTCCTGGTATGTGGACTTCACTTCTGTACCAATTTCATCCTTTATCCACAACACATGCAGGATAGTTGTGGGTCCACGAATTCTACGACCGTATAGGAGAAGTTCACATGGAGAGAATTTCAAGCTGTCATCTGGGATTTCCCTGTATGCAAACATTGCTACGGGAAGAAAGCGATCTCAATGATGGTCTGAAAATAACTTATTAATTACTAATTTGAGGGCTTCATACAATCTTTTTACCCCACCATCATAACAACAATGATAGAGGAGAGGTTGTGATAAGAGCAAACGATGTCCTTCGCTCGTAAAATCCGTCCTGCATTGTGTACCGCGATCAATTCCGATTTCTTTGGGGTTACCGACTCGAGAGAAAATGTCAACTATGCAGTCTGGGATGGTGATGGTATCCATGGCCTCAAGTAGCACGGTCTATGGGTATTTTCTTGCATGATCAATTAAAGCCAGTATATGCTTATTATCCCTGCTGGAACATGGAATTATTGGGCCGATAAGGTTAATAGGTACTCTTGAAAAAGGGAAATGACAGGAACAATTTTCACGGGAACCTTCCTCACGCTTCCCCTAGAAGAGAAATTTTGACACCGGAAATACATTGCTGGATGAGATAAAAAGCGTAAATGTTATTAACTCTTATCAGGTTTTTTTCACAAATTGATTTATTTCAATTTGCAATACACATTTGTTTATATATAATTGTGTCATATACGTCACATTTCATGTTCGGATTCTCTATCATTTACTTTTCACATATGATAGACGAATTGTCTATGAAACGGCGAGGAGTGGCCACGGAGCTGTTACGTGAGGGTCGATCTTCCTGCATGATGGCGATACTGGGGAAATGCCTCCTAGACAAATATATGAAAATGATTAGAAAAAAAAAATGTTCCTCCCATCAGTACGCTCTTATGCCTTGTTCCTTCCCAGAAACAATCATATTTGCGCAGGATAAATGCCCTATTCACACGTCTATGGCAATTACGAAGTGGTTCTATGACTAAAACCACCTGAATGTCATTCGATGACCTGGCAAGACATGTGACTCAAACCCGACAAAAAATGTTTGGGCGAATATCAGTGTTTCAGAAACGGCATCTGAGAGGACCTCCCAACAGCAAATAAATTACACTAAGAGGGAATGGGGAGTGTTAAGGAGGAAATCTAGACGTTGCATGAACACGTTACTTCTGTCGCGGGGATTAGAATAACAATACTTTGTTCTAGTATTTGTCTTTTAATACACTTATTACTATTTTTCTTTAAAATTGAACAATAGAAAAAATATTTCCGAATTTATCAAGCATCACCAATTTGTCAATTCACTGAAGCCCTACATCCTCTAACAAAAGAAAAGAAAGGTATATATATATATATATATATATATATATATATATATATGCATATGTATGTGTATATATATATATATATATATATATATATATATATATATATATATATATATATATATATATATATATATATATATATATATGTGTGTGTGTGTGTGTGTGTGTGTGTGTGTGTGTGTGTGTGTGTGTGTGTGTGTGTGTGTGTGTGTATAATATATATATATATATATATATATATATATATATATATATATATATATATATATATATATTAGTTATCAACTACATGCTAAGTGTTAAACAACTTCAGTTCATTCACATACAACACACACACATTGATGAAGCATCCGTGTATGCACATTAACCCTGTCACGGTTTTGCGTTCAGTTAATATTCTAAAATTATTATAAAATAGCATTTTTCTGTTTATTGAATCTGTGTTTTGATCTGACGAAAATTTTTTCGATATTTAATTAGTTCAAATTCATATTAGCATTACACATAAGAACATTCAACATAGCAATTCTATCTACACATACGCATATATTGTAAACCGATGTGTAGTGACAGAAAGAAGGAAATTAAAAAGCTGCATAAATCAGAAATAAAAGTAGAGAGCGAGATCAACAGACTATTTTATCGGAATGACATTTTTCAGAATATCAGATATCAATACAGCACATGTATTGGAAATCGGTTCTTAGACTTTTGCTCTTCACCTTCCTTGGAACCACCTAACCAGTAGTTGCTCGAGTTGAAACAAGTAAACATTTATTTTGTCACTCAACTGTTCGAATGTGGATGCGTCTCCCTAAACGTCAAGACTTGCAGAATAATAACAGCGAAAACTATGATCAGATTTTAGGACTAGATACAGGATATTCGGAATAACCACACCCTGCAATGATTTCCAATAGACTACCAGTAATTACCGTTGACCACAAAATAAGGCTGCCCCTCGTTCCATTATGGCGTCTACACCAGATTCCGACTACCAACTCTCGAACCCGTCGCCGAATCCGGTTCTCCGACGCTTCAGTGACTCCGCTTTCAGTGAACCATTTCCACCATATTTATTTATCTTCATAGACTTCGTACCTAACATCTACATTCGAACGGGCTCTCTCCACCACACAATGCTAGGTGGTTTTGCATGGAGTTTGTACATATCCACTATCAAACGGGCTCACTGAAAAAGACGGGACCTTTCCTTGAAAATGGCTGTAATGGCTCTTAAGTAAAGGTAATTCAATCCCTTGTCAATTTTTCTCCTAGGCCAGTGTTTTTTTCTTCTGTGGCCCACAACTAATGTATGATAATCCCCATGGCCCCATTCAGTGGCTGTCATGTTTTCAGATTCAGGTATCCAGTTATTAATACGGTAATGGTGTTAACAGCTATACGACAAGAACACTTTATGGAAAGATTCTAGTTTATTGATATGAGGGAGATAATTACATGTAAGCCAAGTAGGTGTGATAAAATTCTGTTTAATTCAACATAATTTTTTTTCATACTGATCCATGGCCCCAAAAAGTACCCTGTGGCCCCCAGGTTTAGAGCACCTGTCCTTAGCCCTCAGAATTCCCTTCAGGTATTGGATATTCCCCTGCATGTCTCGTCACAGGAACATCATTAATATTACCAAAACTCACTGACAAAGGTCCTACAGACTTTTCAAATAAGGTCGCACAAGAACTTGCCCAGGAAATTTGAAAATAAGACACGTTCTCTGTTAGTCCAATCAAGTCTATCATGAGTTAAATTAAGGATTTTCTTACCAAGGGAATTAGTAAATTGTACTCATACATAGACCTTGGACGCCGCCGTGTAACAAGTAGTAGTGACCTCACCTCTCAAGGATAATCCTCGCTTGATGTGGCTGCTATTAAGGGCATCCAGTCAGGTAAGTGTGGCATTTCCAGTCTTCCAATGAAGATATGAGTGTCCCATGCCCTACAGTATTATAATAAGAGCAATAATAATGCACTAGTATAGGATAATCAAAATACAATGAAAAATTATGCAATATATTTATACAAATGTAATTTTGCAGTATAATGTGCACCAAGAAATATAACCACTATTTTGTATTTTATCTGGACGTCAAGCATGCAGTGAATTTATCATAAAAAAGATATCAAATAATTCAACATGCTCTTTCTCCACAATCTGGTCTATTTAATTATAAAACAATGGATTCACAACCACATAGTAAGTTCTACTTGAAACTTGTCCAAGTAAAGAATAGTGTAGTGAGACTTTCGTCTACTTTACTAAGAGAATGTAAGAGTATGAAAATGACTTCAGTCAACTGGAAAAAAATATTTTATACAATGATGTACAATAGATCACTTATCTGCACACCTATATTATATGACACACAAATACAGGCTTCCACATTACCAATACACTATGTGATCATGTACCTTACCTATCATGATATGCAAAACTTTGAATAATGCTATGACTGAACATTTCAGTGTACTAATGAAAACATTCTAATACCATAATTCTGTCCTGGGAGCCAAGGTGAATACTCTTACATCATGCTTTGTAGAATTTTCTATTACTGTCATTATCCTACTTTCTACAAGCATGAACCCCATAAATGCATGTCACCTTAAAATTTCTTACTTGTATCTAATTCGGCTACTCTTCATGGCTAGTGGCTGGAAACATGACTCATCGACAAAGCACAATCGATTTAGAAAACAAAATACTCTGGCTTCCTGAATTAGCCCACCTAATATTATCCCCATTTCAACAGTAACTTACAATCCCGAAATACAAGTATTATCAAGTATTTTTTTATTTTATCAAGTTCTGCATCTTGATGTAAAGTGCAATCACATACATATTAAAATAATGCCCTAATCAACAGTCATTAATTGTCTCCCCCACTTCCAGCCCCTTCCTCCTCAATATGGCTGCTATATGCACACCTCACACAGACTGTGTCTCCCCCGATGTGTACTCTTATTGTGCAAAACTCCAAACCCAGGTAATAATGCAGATGAACTATGCTGACTACTGGGGATTTGTGGGGTAATTGTACCTGTTGCTGTGTAAACTGAGGTATTTACAAAACCGCAACATTGGAAAAAAACACGAATGCCACATGTTCATAATACATTTTCATAAGTAAGTTCCAGAACTCCCTTTGATTTTTTTTTCATGAATTGACTAGTAGAAGAAATGCAATCAACCTAACCTACAAATGATGTCCGCTTGGACAAGCACTCTCTGCTTTTGAACTCTTATCACAACCGAATCCATGAAGCGGATGTTATTTGCATTAATATTTGTCACTGTATCATAGAGCATGTTCTGGTGTGACCAGAAAAAATGGAAGGATTTAAATGGTTACTGATATTTCAGTAATCACTGGTATCTTAATGCACTTCTGTAGGGATGAGCAAATTGCTGTATATCATGACCACAGTTTTGAAATTTTATAGAATTGGTTTCTCGTAAGTTAAATCAGGGAGAAAGAAAATTGTTTACATTGAAAATATTTTTGAGTTTATGAAACTCTTGATGAAGCAGTTGTTGATATACATGTACTGTAATAGAAGTAAAATGTAAATGAATAAAAATAAAAGTAGAAATAAAAATAAAACTGATTAACATACCATAAGCATATTTTATATGCTGGACAAGTAATTTCACTAGGTAAAAATCTACCCCTGTAAACTAATATCACAAATGGACCATTTGTCCCTAATATTTATATCATGAGGCTTGTGGAAATTGACAATTTGATCATAGTGTGTAGACAAGATAAAGCCAGAGAACATTTTTGAGTGAACGTATTTTTAGATACAATGTAACAAGTAAGTTAACATTGGTTTAAGTTGGAGATGAAAACTTAAAATATGGCACTTTAGCCGCTGAATTCATTTTAATGTAGGTCAACTTTCAAGTCTTGCAGGCTTGAGACCAGACCAATGCAAATAAGTAACTCTTAGGATTAAAATAAATAAATGATAATATTAACACATATTCCACTATATTACTGACCAATCAGTAATCAAATATAAAATATTTGCATGAACCTGGGATGGATGTAAACAAATGGGGGAAAAGTGGTATTTCAGCTAGCCAAGTTGCGTAGTGACTCCAGTTTCAACTCGCTATCTTGAACCATCAAAGTTAGATGGGCATATGAATGTGTGGACGTATCTGTGTGTGCATATGCACATGTCCGTGTGTGAGTGGCAATGGGGCATGGGCATCTGTGTATCTATGTGTGCATACTGCATGTTTTTCTTTTTTTCTGGAAGGGAGAGGCATTCTAAATCCTTTTCTAAAGGAATGTTCAGTAGAATTCCCTGCAAAAATTATGGAATGTATAATTTCCTTTGAGAAAGACTTGCTTCTTTATGAAATGCATGCCTATCACATGAAATGAGGTGAATTGTCAATAATAATGAGTTTCTTGATAATGAAGATACATATTGGAATTAATGGTGCTTCACTTATCTGGTGATATAAACTAGGAGGCAAAACAAATCCACAAATATCTTCTAGAATTTTCCTGACACAGCTCAATCATTTTAATGATAAGCCACATCTCTTAGACATTCATTTCTGATTAGTCATTGCCTGTAAAAGTGGTTTTCAAAGGTGTAATATTCTGTCTGAAATCACTCTTGTCATGGTTTCTTAGTGCCTCATATGCATGCTGAAGCTGAATGGCTGCCACTGGATGGGATGAAGAAGGCAGCAGAGTACACTCTCGCTCCAATACACTTGCCAGTCCTTCTAGGAGCTCTCCAAATCCATAAGACAGGGCAGCTCTACGTACGCGGTTTAATTCCTTTAAAAATCCCAAAACAGTTGATACTATCTTATTATGAATTATATCTGCATTTTATATGAAAAATACACATCTCACACTTAGGAGTTCTCATTACTTGTATAGAACTCAAAATTAGTTCAAATACACATATTAATTCATATCATCAGTTCTTATTACTTGACAATTTAATAGCAAAGGTCTGTAGTACTTATAAGGTACTTGAGCATAACTGTAAAACTGTTATTTTAGTTATGCCAATAGCTACTCTGTATATACCAGATTCCAACTTTACTCAGTTTGCAAAATCTCCTTGGCCATAAAAATAAATAAATTGAGCCAATATGCCTAGATTAATATGAATCTACATGCTGCATCTATTACACATTGTGATTTATGTGTAATAAATTTATCAGAATAATCCTTTTTCATATATCAACCTGCAAGGAACTACTTACCTTGTAAAAACTCTGTGTTTTATCTGGGAGTTTTCGAGCATGACGAAGGATTTTCTGTATATCTGATTGTAAGCCACCTTGTCGTACCCAGACCACACAATTAAGTGCATAACTTTTCTCTTCTTGAATCTTTAGAGAAAAAAGTAATATTGCTCATTAAATTCATCCATCTTTTACCCTGATTTTTTTTTGGTGGGTGATTTTTACTGCAAATTCCACATCCTACAGTCAATAAAGTATACAAGAACATTCATAAAAATATAAAATGTTTCTATATTAAATGATGCACTCATTGTATGAATGTATTGCATTATTACATAACTATCGTTTTGGTGACACTGAAAGTTTACCTAGAAACTCAATAAAACTAAAATCTGCAAAATTTATGTTACCTTTAACGGAAAAGGTGTAGAAGATTCATTTGGTCCATATGGATTTGTAGGCAAGAGTGAAGCAGGTCCAAGATTAGATAATTTCCCCATCCATGGAATAACATCATTGCCTGTGTAAAAAAAAAAAAAAAGAAAGAAAAAAAAAGATATTTGAAAAACCTAACAATAACTTGAATTAAATATTGACACTATATAATCATTCTGCTACTTACAGTTGTTTGTAATGTCTTTTAGTCAGTTTTAGAATATCTATTAACACTGTCAGAATACAAATAAAAAATTTGAGAGTAACCTGGGACAAAAATTGATAGCATTAAGTTTGACTTCTTTTTGTTGTCCGCCCATGAATACAGAATGCCGTACCAGTTGTCGCCAACCTGACACAAAGCCACTGTGTTTTCTCTCTGTAAGATTAGTAAAATCAGAATACTTACCAGATCAATCTGTATTCATATTCATAAATAACTAAAGAGGTGTTAATTCAAATGAAGAAGCTTAAAATACCCTTAAAGTTGTTGATTTGACAGTTCTTTACATTTAAGATATATATATATATATATATATATATATATATATATATATATATATATATATATATATATATATATATATATATATATATAATCAAGCAACGTATAGTAAAGACATCAGAAAGAATATAAAAAAAAAAAAGTTTTCATCATTACATGCCTTAAGCCCACCATGAAGCAAGACACAAAAAGACGGTATTTTCCCCTCGTCATTTCCACTTTCATCATCACTTCCACCATCAGCCTTGGGTAGCATCACCATGTCACCTGAACAGAGAAGATTGCATAATATTAATATAATATATCCAAATGAGGAATAATGAATGTAATTTTCACAAAACTTACTTCATACTATTTCAGCTTCAAATGTAAGATTTTCGCAGTGATGTGCAAATTTTACTGTTACTAATATGCAGTACTTCATGCAAGAAACTCATCCTAAAAAAAAACATATATATGTAGAATAATAATAATAATAACATAATAATAATGGATGTAATAATAATAATAATAATAATAATAACAATAATAATAATAATAATAATAATAATAAAATGAATAATAATAACAGTAACAAAAATGATGAGTTGGAGGTTTAAAATAATAACAATAGTAACAATAACAATGATAATAATAACATTATTACTAATACTATTAATAATAATAACAATACTAATTATAACAATTATAATAATAGCTTGCACCTTATCTCAAAATTTCTCAGTATTAAAATTCTTTACATACAGACATATCACATTGAGATTTTACTCTCTTTTATAAAACCATCATTTTATGTTGCTGTAAACTGCATATGTTACATACTATATGGTAACTAACCTTTTGTGGAAAGAGGAAGCACAAGATGTCTGGAGAAGGCAGGAGGCGAAGAAACATCTCCCGTGTTCAGAAATCCAAGCACCTGGATGGCAGAATCTACACTCACACGGATCACTTCAAAATCATGGTGACGGCAGTAAGGCTTGAATGTAAGGACCATAAGTAAGTAAAGATTGTTTCAAAGATTTTACCATTCTCTTTCTGTTGTAGCTGTGCTTTTAACTAAGTAAGTATTACACATATTACAGTCTTCAAATGTTTAGGATGAATTATATTCCAGATTACATAATATTCAGATATGAGGAAGTGTGAGTAAAGGCTATGGATATACCTGAGGTGGAGGTGACAGGGTAATGGGAGCAGACAAGTTCCCACAGTGAAGAGTTCCAGAGTACGAGGAGAAGTTGTTCTTAATCAGCTGGTCAAATAATTCTGATACTGACTGGAAAAAAACAGAGTACAACCAGAAGTAGCATCACTTAAAAATGGGGTGTATTTTCACTAAAAAATTTGTCTTCACTTTGTCCTATGCTCATGTATTTATTCACCCTATATCCCTTATGATGATAATATTCTTTTCTGATTGAAATAAACAGGATAGTAATTCATACCTTTTTGCTTAATCCACCTTCTGGAATAAGAATATCACCTTCACCATTCAACTCAATTAGACGCTGATATAAAGGTTTTGAAGTCTGAAACCAAAGAATACAGCAAGAAACACTGATAAACCAAGCAAAGATGAACTACTATTTTTCTTAATCCTATTGTTCTTCTGAGTTAAACTAAACTAATTCCTTTCTCGTTGAACATACAAGAAGCATAAATGGTAATGCTCTTATACTACTAGAAAACAATGAGTTACACATAATTCAATCAATCTCTCCACCAAAAATTTGTATCATTCTAAGGACTCTGAATCCTGTTCCGGATAATTCAGCAAACTATACCTGGAAGCCTGGTTCACTTGGGTTGGCAATGCAAACAATGTTGAGTTTTGCAGGAAACGGGAAGGGCAAAGGGAACTGAGCTGCTCCTCGGGAATGGGGAGACATCAAAGACTTCTGCATGGCATGCTGCCCTATTCCAGCATTACCATCAGTAACCAAAACAATCTAAGAGAAAGATGTACCAATTAAGGGATATACAAAAAAATGCACTCCATATCAGCAACAGTAAGAAGTGAGAAGCACAGGCAAAAAGTCCCTTGGTTACCTGACAAGGAGTTCCATTCCCCCACTCCTCCAGGATATGCTGAGCTGCACCAACCAGCCCAACATCAATGCTCGTTTTATCTCCTTCTTCTACCAGATTCAGGGCATTTTTTATGGATTCAAAATCCCTTGTAAAGGGCATAAGGATTTTGCACACAGATGAAAAAGAAATCTGGAAAAAAAAGTGTAAGAAATCAGCATCAGATAATTATCTTAATATTAATAAAATTATATATAAAAATTATTTTCTTCAGTTATCCAACCATTAGAATAAATTAACAAATTTGACCCTTACCAAGCAGGCAAATTCTAATTTACAGTGTTGGGCAAAGTGATCAAGAAGACTGTGACATCCATGGGCGGCAAGGTCCTTCCTCAGTTCTAATCTTTCTACTTCTTCATTTTGGCTGGGAGTTGATACGTCTACACTCCGGCTCATAGAAAGTGACACATCTAGGAGGATTACTGTTGGCATCTTCTATGCATATATAAATCTGAATAGATGAGGAAAGAGACATCATATTAGAAATACATCTGCTAGTAGCTATTTGGGACGAAACAGCATGATAAGCAAATTGAACAAAATTATACTGATTCTTTTATGCCAAATGATTATGGTTACCGTACATCTACTTAGCCAATACCAGACAGGCTCAAAAATCCTTCCTGATATGCATTGCGCATGAAAAAAAACATCCGTATTTCATGTCAATGAAAACACTTAATGTTATGAATATGTTTTGATCCAATTAATAGTATCTATTGTATAGTACCCTTATTCCATGAAAGTACAGTTCTTATCATCATAATTCCATCTTCATGATAAAAATTCAAACTGAAGCATGCTGATTGTCATAACTCCTAATTCCTGTGAAAATGTATTCTTTACATTCATTCATTATAACCATGACATAAATACTGCTTGAGTCAAACTGCCACTTTTTAAAATATTTCAATTCCCCTTGATGTGTGATACAAAATCTCCATTGTCAATAAAAGGTCATGCATACATACTATAAGTAAAAAACTTGTGGGTCTCTATGATATGGGGTCATGTTTTAAGAACAGGGACCTATGTTAGGCTCTACCTATCTCAATGACCATGTCTATTAAACCTTGCTCTAGTGTAATTGGAAAGGTTATGTCCATGATACTAGTCTAGATTCCTGCTAGACAATGTTCTTGTTGGGTTATATAATGTATTGGTTGATACTGCTCTCCCTGATACTTCCCAACCTGTGAGACCAGGTTCAAGTCCTAGTCAGCGGGTGTATTTAAATTTCTATATAAAATGCATAAATGTATTCTTCTATCTTATAGCAAGTGACCAAGTTTACATGCTTATTTCCAATTTCAGTATATATCTTCAATGTGAGCAGAGTAATCACTGAATTATGTGCTAAATTTGGGGAATCAACAAACAAGATTCTTACGGTGTTGCAAAAGTTATGAAAGTTTGAGAAGAGTATAATGTCAAAAGAGGACAAGAAAAGGTAAAGGTAACCTACAATAATCATCAGGATCATTTCATCACCATCAAAGAAGTTCCTGATATCAGAAAGCCACTTGGATCATATCAGATACATCACTACCAAATCTGTGCCTAGGCACTTAGCCCATCACCTTCATTTCAAGGAGGATCACTGGTGCCTGGAGTTGGCTCTAAGGCTATAAATCTAGAGACCAAAAGGTAGTCTTCCCAGTGGAAAAAAAAAACAATCTCCAGAACCCAAGAAGGTAATGCAGGTCAAGACTCCTAGGGAAAGCTTGGTCTTTATGTGCATGATGAATTCATCCCTCAAAGTCAGACAATTAATGATGAGTTTTACTATAAAGCTCTAAGGAGTCTGAAGGACAACCTGAACAGTGGCATGATAGCCAATGAGTCCTCTATCATAGGAATGCATTCACTATGTACTGAAACCATGTTTTTAAGCTGTAACAGCACACTTGTCACTCCCTAACCTCCTATGCACCATATCTGGTTCTCCTTCCCCAAGCTCACTGTCTTAACACTGGAATGATTACAAATGAAACATGATACACTCAAAGGAGGGACTACAAGGTAGCATTTTCAAAATGGTAGAGATACAGAGAGCATGTTTGCCTGCAATAGGTGAATATTCAGGATGGTGGCCAAATTTCAATAAAAATATGGTTTTTGCTCTTCATCCGTATAGTACTGGAACATTTATATCAAAAGCAAAACAGTCAGAACTGCAAATAGGGAAACAGCCTCTGCTGATAGGAGGGGCTGTGAGGCAAGGCTGCCTCTTGTTTATATTTCTCTTCTATTATATATACTGAGGCTATGATGAGAGGGGCTCTGGATTCTGTGGAAGATAGTGTAAAGACTCGAGGAAGAGTGCTTCAAGCCATAGGTTTGCAAGTGATCAGGCAATCCTTGCAAGCACAGAGGAGGATTTACAAGTGAAGACATCTTTGTCAGAAGTAGTAGAAAGATATGAACATAAACAGCTAGAGAAAAGTCATGAAGACCTGAAAAGAAAAATAAGAGATGAATGTGATGATAAATGGTGAGAGACTTGGGTAATACATGAAAACAAATACTTTAGGAGCCTTTTTTGTGAAGATGAGAGGAGTAGAAGGGATATTTGAACAAGTATTGTCATGGCAAAGACTATTCTTTCAAATGAAGGGGCTTGTAACTATAAGTATAAGTATGAAAAGGATGTAAAAGTGTTTGGTTTGGAGTGTGCTATCATATGTATGTAAACATGGGAACTGACCAAGAGAAAAATAAGTAATCTTGAGGCCTGTGAAATGTGGTTTTGGAGAAAGATGTTACAAATTAGTTGGACAGATCAATTGTGCAATGAAGAAATGCTAAAAATAACAAGGGAAAGGAGGAAACTTCATGAAGACCTTCAGTTAAAGATAAAGGAAATGGCTTACACATACTTAAAACATGAGAGTCTCTTAAAAAGTGAAGGAAAGTTGCCAAGAAGGAAGGAAGAGGAAGACCAAGAAAAGCCATGTTGGATATGGTGACCTCTAAGGAAGTTTCATTCACTTTAAGAAAAAAAAGTACAAGACAGTTTATTATGACCTGCAATGCAATCTACTAAAAGATTCAAAATCTGATGTGATTAGGATCATTCTGATTTCAAAATCTGATGTGATTAGGGCAGATAAAGCTTAAGTAATTTCAAAAAAATGATATCTCTCTTCTTTTGAGGTATACCATATTCAGTTTTAAGGATTTTTGTGCAGAACAGATACCACTTAGATACTTCAAATCTGTGATTAAGAATTAAATAGCAGTTTAGCCACAAGACCACAAATGTCAAAAGTATATCTTTTTAGTTTCAAAAACAATTCAGCCTCCTGCAAGACTTCCTTATGAACACAGCACATCCTGCTTAGCACAACCACTTAGTTAACAGAATTTACACACTTTATGCACATTCACAGCCCATAAAATCAACTCTGTAACCCAACAAAGGAAAAGATATTTCCGATATTTCATACAGCAACATTCATAAACCATGTGAATGCTGTCAGATAAGAGGAATAGCCCATTTGGCTACAAGCTATACTGTCGAGGTACTTCCTGACACGAAACGAAAAACAAAAAACTACTTGCGGGAATATATATTCTGATATTCTGACCTTTCTCCATCTGAGGACGACCTTATGCTCATACAGTATATGTACATATAATTTGAACATGTGTCAATATTATCCAAACATCTATTCCTTTAAACAAAAAACATACTCATCTATTCAATCTATTACGGAAAAGGATTAGTAATTATTCGCAAAACCTACACAGTACTCAGACACAAAGCCCTTGCCCCATCCGCATAGTTCACACACGTAAACAACTTCGGTGTTTACCCCAAGCAGTCGAACCGCAGTGTTGTTATCCTCTCAAGGGTATTAGTCGCATAAAAAGCCCTCTTTCCCTTGAAATTATATTATCGTCACTATCATTATCATTGTTGATCTATTATCATTATTATTATCATTATCATTATGCGAGTTATCATCATCGTACTTGTTGTCATTATCATCATCATCATTATTATTATCATCGATTAATTTCATTATTATTCATTATTATTATTATTATTATTATTATTATTATTATTATTATTATTATTATTATTATTATTATTATTATTATTATTATTATCATTACTATTATTATTATCATCATCATTATTGGTGTTATTATAATAATAATGATTATTACTATTATTATCATTATTAGTGTCATTGTTATTATTTTATTATTGTTATCATTATTAGCATCATTATTATTGTTGTTGTCATAATTGTTATGATAATGACTAATTGTCATTGTTATTATTATCATTATTTTTATTATCATTATTACCATTATATTATTATATTATTATTATATTATCATTATTATTATTATTATTATTATCATTAATCACCATTATCAATATTATCTACTATTATTACTATTATTGTTATTATTATCGTTATTATCATTATCATTATTGTTATTACCATTATTATTATCACCATCATCATCATTATCATTATCCCATTATCGTCAATACTATTATCATTGTTATTATTATAATCATTTTAAGATTACCATCGTTGTCATTGTATTATCATAATCATCATCATTATTTTTGTTTATTTTTATAATCAACAGTGTCATTATTATAATTAGTATCATTAACATTATCATCATTGTTGTTATTACTTTTATTCTTGTTATTATTATCATCATCATTGCCACTGTCATTGATATTATCATTTTTATTATAATAATGATTATTTTTATGATGATGATGATGATTATTATAATTATCATTATTATCATAGTTATTAATATTCTTCTTATTATTATTATGGTTAGCTTATTATTACTATCGTAATTATTAGCATTATAATCATCATTGTTGTTATTTTTATTTTCATTATTGTCATTAATGTTCTTATTATCATTGTTATTGATTCTGCTGCTGCTATTGTTATTGTTATTGTTATGATAATTATTATTGCTATTATTATTGTTGTTATTATTACTATTGTTATCACTGTCATTATTGTTATTATTATTGTTATTATCATTATTATTCCTATAGTCATTATCATCATTGTCATTGTTATTTTCATAGTTATTGTTGTTGTTATCATAATAATCATTTTCATCATTATCTTCAGCATTATTATTATTATTATGACCATGACTATTGTCACTATTACTATTATCATTATTATTGTTATATTATAATAATAATGATAATTATTATTATTATCATCACCATCATTTTTATTGATTATATTATTATTATTATTATTTATTATTATTATTATATTATTTATTATTATTATTACTGTTATCATTATTACTGTTATTATTATTATTATGATTATTATTATTATTATTATCACTACTATTATCGTTACTATTATTATCATAATTTTATTTCTTTTAGTTGTTATTATGGTTATGTTCACCATTACTATTGTTATTATTATTATCATTACCATCAACATAATTATTATCATTATTATTATTATTGTCATCATTAATATCATAATTTTTATTTCATTGTCATTATCAATTCCATCATCATAACTTTTGTTGCCACAATCATTATTATTACTAATGATATCAATATCATAACTATTAGAGGTAGCAACAGTAATCTTCATCATTTTTAAGATTATCGTTATACTCAATGTTATCATCGTTCTTATTATCATCATTATCAGTATTTTTTTAATCATCATTATTACTATCACTTTCCTCATCCTTAACAGCCCGACAAAATGTCATCCAGAGGCACGATAACGAAAATTCTTAACACGTTTCTTCGATGGATTCTTAACTCTAGAAGAATTTTTGGACGCCGCTGGAATCTGGACTTGCTGAAGCTCTTACAAGCGGTCAGAAGTCTGTCAAGACTTTATCGCAAAGTATCCTGCGAAGCTAATATTTTGAGGAAGGATGACACAGCTTTGCCTTTTTCCCAAAGTGGACACCCCCTGGGAGGGGGGTGGCAATGAGGTAATAAAAGTGGGCGTTTGAAGAGCGACAGGATGGCATTAAGAGCAGTCATCAAAGCAGTTGTGTTTTCTAGTAAAACCTGAATGACACAATCTGTACATTTTTTGGAAAAACCTGAATGACACAATATGTACAACTTTCGGGAAACTGAATGACATAATATACACCAATTACATTTATCCCATTAACAATAGCGATGAAGAAAATTAAGAAAACTGCTATAGAAATTGGTTTACTAATTCAGCCTTTTTACTGAATGCCGTTTTATATTTAATCTTGTTTTCAATTTGAAACATACCAAAATAAAATAAATAGGGTGTGTTCGCATGTGTATGAGGGGGGGAGGGTGATAGTAATCCATCTGGAAGCCAAGGGGACACCAGCCTGGAAGAGTTTGAGAACCAATGGCCTTGCCCAAGGTCTGGAAAATTATGTCTCTAGACCTTAGCATACCCTACATGTGGTATGATGTGGCGTGTGGTTGGAGACCGACGGAGATTATCAAAAGTATCGACCTTAAGTGCATTTGACACTTTTGTTTCCGCTGTTCTTCTGGGACTACAAGATAAGGGTCACGTTGCTGCAGAGGAAAGGATTGCACAAACACAAACGAACAGTTAACGTAGGAATGCCCGAGTAACACCCACGGTGGGAAGGAGGTGTCATGGTCTGTGTGCTTGGTATGGAAAAGAAGGTCCTGATAGACGTACTGACTGTCCTTCGCGACCTCTCGTTTCTTTGACCCCCGTTTGCAGGAATAATTCAGTCTGTTTTCTTCTTCTTTTGTTGAATGTGTTCGATTATAGTCCCCGAGAACTAAAATAATGCCCCGGGTTAGCTGTTGGCCATCGATAAATGTTTGGAAGTAGGAGTAGATATAGCAGCTTGGGAAGATGCCGTAACTGCCAATAACACGGCACTACATCCCTACTACATGAATCACCAATGCAGCCAGCTGACTTTCATTCAACTGTAACATGATGTATAATGGAATTGTTTGAAGGTTTTGCAATTAAAACAAATATGAGTAAGAATGGATATCTTCACAGCGCAGGACATGTATTAGACCGTTTTCAATTATATCTTCATCAGATATGCATATGTATTATCTTTACTTTTGATGAAGATGTAACTGAAACTGGCCAAATAAATCTCGAGCTGTGAAGATTTCTTTTTCATTTATACCTTTTATTTACATTTGTCGCATCCATCCCAGTTGATTGCTTTATCGACCTTGAAACTGATAAATCCTAGACTTGATCATAAAAGTATTGAAAAATTGGTTCAACATAATCTGTTCTATATTGGAGAACAAATTCCAAAGACAATTTACATGCATATCTTAATCCTCGCACATGATACGGTTATAACTCTTGTAAAGTTTACTTAAAAAAATCTAACAGACGTAGACCAATAAGTACTAAATACCATGAGATATTATCAAAGAATAGCTTCTTTATGTTACCTAGGAACTGCGGTATGAATACTTCTCGAATTATACACACATAACCAGACCTAACACAACCTCTAGAAAATGACAAAGAACAATAGAGAAGAATAAGCAGCTGAGTGGTGAGTCTACACTGCACGGCCCTACTCGTAACATATTTGAATGTACAATGATCAGTAATACTGCACTAATACTCTCTCAATGACAGAATGGCTATAGCGTATCGCATTACTTTCGGCCGGTTTGTTGAATTTATGCGAGGCCTAACCCAATGAATATTCATTTTAGGGATATGCAAATACACAGAAATGAATGTATATCTATGTGTCTAGATATACACATCTACCTGCCAGATAGATAAATAGATGCATATCCACCGGATAGATATACAAATAAGCATTTATTTCTATATATATGCATGTCCGTACATTTGAATATTCATAGGGTCGGGCCTCGCACAATTTTGATAAATTGGCCACGTATCTCAACTTTTTTTTTTTTTTTAATAGCTTCTTGTATCTCCGTCTGAACTAAAGGTTAAGTAAATACTGTATTGAAACGAGAGTTATTAAACGTAATGTATTATAAAATATAACGCCCAGTGTTGTGTAGATAGGATAATGCGGATAGTCAGTACTGAAGTAAACAATATAGTCATTTCATATAATAGTGATCATGATGATAATCATAATTGTCATTATGATAATGATGATATTGATAACAATGATAGTCGTAGTAATAGCAATAATGATAATAATAATAGTCATAATAATGATAATGATAACAATGATAATGATAATAATAATAATGATAATGAAAATGGTGATAATGATAATAATAATAATAATGATAATGAAAATAAAAAATAATAATGATAATGATAATATAATATAATAATGATAATAATATATAATTAATAGTAATAATGATAATAATAACGAAAATGATAATGTTAATAATCATCATTATTATAATGATAATGATAATAATTATGGTAATAATAATAATAAGGATAATGATAATAATGACAGTGATAACAATAATGACCAGGATGATGAAAATGGTAACAGTAGAAATGATAGTAGGTATTATGATAATATTAATGATAATAATGATAATGATGATAATATTGTTATCATTATTATTATCATGATAATGATGATGATGATAATAATGATAAAGATATAATGATAAAGATAATAATGATAATAATAATAATAGTAATAATAATAATAATATTGATAATAATGATAGTAATAATAATAATATGATGATATTGATAATGGTATAATGATATAATGATAATGATAATGATAATAACAACAATAAGCTTAATGATAATAATAACAAATGTGATAATGATAATGGTAATGATAATAGTAATGTTAATGATGGTAATGATAAA